AACCATTTATTTTTAATAGGGTTCCGCAGAACCGGGTGGCTTTGTCTCCACAGGGCCCCAGAGCAGCAAGCGCTCGCCTCCCTGCAACCCTCGGTCAGGAAGGGGCAACCACATTGGTTCAGGTCCCCACGGCTCCAGCGAGCGGGACCCTCTCACAGGGAGGATGAACCTGGTCAGATGAGCAAGTCTGAGTTCAGCTGTACTGTTTTCATCGGCTGCTTCCTCTGTCCCAGCACCTTTTGACTGGATAGGAGCTGGGAAGGGAGGAACAGTGACAGGTCCAGGCTGGTGAGGGCAAGCCCTGGAGAGCACGGTCCATCACACTAGCCCCTTGCAGCCTCCTTCCCCCTCCCCAGCCTGCAGCAGGGTCCCCGGCACAGCATCACTGCCTGGCTTGGCTGATGAATGCAGCTACCGAAGGGGATGGGGCATCTCCCCAGGGGAAAGGGGGAACCTGGGGTCAGGCTCCTGCTGAGGGACTCAGTGGAGTCCCAGGAGCACCCCAAGAGTGGTGGGTACAAGGCAGGAGAGCAGCGCAGTGGTCTACACTTTCCCCTGCTCACAACTGCTAGAGGAGCAGAGGGAATCGATGTGAGTGCTGGGCAAAGGGGCCAGCTTCGGGGCAGGTTCCTTGGTGCGTTGGCATGGGGCTGCGGCCCCCAGCGCTCTGGGGAACCAGCTGCCACGCACAGCCAGTCGTGAGTGCCAGCCCGCTCCCCCAGCAGTGCCAGAGTGGTCTCAGCAGGGTTTCAAGCCCATGCCTGTCCTCCAACATGCCAGCAGCATCCCACCGCAACAAGTGCCAGGGAGCTGGGCCAGCCTACAGTGCCTCCTCACGCTGGCACTGCCACCAGACACGGAGCCAGGCCACCAAGCCACCCTCCCTCATGTCAGCGGTGGGACAGGACACCCTGGTAGCCCCATCCAAGCTCCCTGGTCCATGGCAGTGGCACACACATCCCGCTTGCAGGGCACCACACATCTGGGAAGCGGGGTTAACCCAGGAGCCCTGGCTCCAGGCCCTGCTCCACCACGCAGCCGAGGCATCGGTGCTGGCACCACAGCAGGACTCCTCTCAAAGCCGCTGCGCCGACCCGGGGAACCGGCCTCGCGTGCGGAGCCCCGAG